CTAAATATATATATATATATATATATATATATATATATATAATTGGTAATCAACCATTTCACTTAGATTCCTACAACCAACTTGTTCCCCTTTTAGAATTATCAAAGGGGGTCAATACATTGCAACTTGTAACCAGAATAATCCCACCTTACCATAACCATTACTTTCCCCACTTGTTCATTCTTACCCTTTTTTAATTAATTTTTTTATTATTAATAACGATATCAAACCAGATCAATATATTCTACTCAGAAGTGGGATTAGGGGTGGGATGTATGCATACACATCTCATATGCCAGAGAATATAACAGTTATTTTCACAAAAACCCTCAACTGCAAAAAGTGTGCAAAAAATAAGGCTGTCTTCGATTAATCTATATGTATTATTATAATCTTCTTGACCATTAGTCTGAGTAGATTTTTCGTTTCCAATTAATGATCATAGATCCAAAACAATTGATAACACATATAAGATATTTGGGTACTGTCCGAGCCGCATAGATAGAGGTACATATAAAGAAGTGGCACTAGCATGTATTCGGGGTCGTTGCTTGTTGAGTCAAGTCATTTGATCAATATGATCCAACTAATAATAATTGAAAGACAACTGTAATGTTATGTTAAATGTACACGGCTGATGACTTTCTAAAAGTCAATATGAGGGTCTATGAATGTGACATTCGTGCTGTACACGTATTATTAACCTATTATTGGAATTCCTGATTAACTTTTTTCAAAAGACAACAAATTACCCTGATACCATCGTGTGATATTATTGAAAGAAACAAGCCAACGATGTCGACTACTATCATGTCTTTATAAGGTCTCATGTAATAAATGGTAAAAATGCAGTATAATGTATTACATCTTACTTTTCTAAAGATCAAATAATACCATCTATCTGGTTTCCTATTTTCCTGTTATTTTCTTCTGGTTTTTCTTATTTTGAGTTTAAGAAAATCAAAATGGATTTCATAGATTAAGGAAAGTTGTGTTAGATCGGGATGAGACTCAACGTATTGAAAGTAAACTAAGAGATTATCATTGAGAAATCCTTTAGTTTTGATTCAATAACAATTTCAAGAATTTTTTTATGGTAAACTGAGAATGAAAAATTGATATAATTTTCATAAAAAAGATCCAATTAAAATTTATGAAGTATTTTGTTGTGTTAGTAAGATTTAATATTTATTATATATTCAAATTGTTTATGAGTTGATTGAATTAGTTTTATGGAATTGAAATGCGAAATTTTAGGAGGATGTACGTATACAATAATCTATACTATATTATAAAGCATTTGATAAAAAAAATTTAAAAACCATTTTTTATGTATGAAATACTGTATATTGATGCATATTACTTAAAATTCAAGATTACAAGTAAATTATGAATAAGTACAACTTATTAAACCTTTATGTTTGAATTCATATAACTAACTGCGGATAAACATAATAAATAAAGGATAAACATCTGATTTTAAAATATAAAAACTTTAAAATATAATTAGAATAATTATCGAGTTCTAACAAAATAATTACTTATTAATCTATACTATATTATAAAGCATTTGACTAAAACTCTTAAAAACTCTTAAACTCTTAAAACTCTTAAACTCTTAATCTATACTATATTATAAAGCATTTGACTAAAACTCTTAAAAACTCTTAAACTCTTAAAACTCTTAAACTCTTAAACTCTTAAACTCTTAAAAACTCTTAAACCCGTTCATCCCTATCCGATTTCATCCCATATCTGAATTCGTGTAACTAACTGCAAATAAACACAATCAAATACATGATAAACATCTCATTTTAAATATAAAAAAATCTAAAATCTATACTATATTATAAAGCATTTGACTAAAACTCTTAAAAACTCTTAAACTCTTAAAAACTCTTAAACTCTTAAAAACTCTTAAACCCGTTCATTCCTATCCGATTTCATCCCATATCTGAATTCGTGTAACTAACTGCAAATAAACACAATCAAATACAGGATAAACATCTCATTTTAAATATAAAAAATCTAAAATATAATTAGGATAATCATTAAGTTCTAACAGAATACTTAATTATTATCTCATTTTAAAATATAAAAAATCTAAAATATAATTAGAATAATTATCGAGTTCCAACAAAATAAATAATTATTATCTTTATAAAAAAATTATATTATTAAACTAAATATGAATTACTTCGTTATTGTACATAAATTAAATTATTAAAAAATTGAATTAAAAAATTACACAAGAAATGAGGAATTTCAAATAGTTAATTTGATACTAATATCGATATATTTTTGTCAAATTTTTATGATATCTTCAAACATATATTTTATTCAAAAATAAAAACACCATCGTTTTCTCAAAATCACATAAAACCATATTATAACATCAGCTGAGATAAATAATAAAATGAAATATTAAAATCACGATGTATCTCGCTGCATTGCRCAAGTACACTTCTAGTATTATAAGAAAATTATATTATTAAATCAAATATAAATTACTTCGTTATTGAACTTAAATTAAATTATAATTAAAAAATTGAATTAAAAATTTACAAAAAAATTGAGGAATTTTAAATAGTTAATTTGATACTAATATCGAAATATTATTATCAAATTTTTATTATATTTTCAAATTTATATTTTATTCAAAAAAAAACATTATTGTTTTTTCAATATTACATAAGATTATATTATAACATCGACTGCGATAAAAATTAAAATAAAATATTAAAATCAAGATGTATCTCGTTGCATTGCACAAGTACCCTTCTAGTACATTTTAAATTTAAATTTTAATGAAAATTAAAAATATAAAATTAAATGCTTAATATTATTATTATTATTATTATTATAAGATAAAATAATATTGAAAATAGCACATGATTTGGTAAGGCAATCCCACGATTAGAAGGAATATGACACGAGTGAATATAACTTGACATAACTATTCTCTCGCACTTTCTCCTACCTAACGACCTTGGAAGTTACCTACGGAGTCAACCCATGATCAAGCAACTACATAATCCTCTCTCGCTTCTTACTTTTTTTTTTAATTAACCTTAATATTCAACTCGTTATGTGATCCGACTAATCCCAGGATGACCATCTGCTTTGCGGATAGCCCAGAGTCACAGTATTTAAACATCTGTGGCTACAAGAAGACTTTTATTCATCCTTAAATTTGAAATATATATATATATATATATATATATATATATATGAAGCAACTACATCGTCCTCTCTCGTTTCTTACTTCTTTTATATATAAAGAGAGGATTAAATGCAAACCTCCTCATTTGTATAAACCGTACAAATCTCATTTAATCAATCATATTTTTTTTCATTTTTTAAATATCAGAGTTGATTAGTCATTTTTATTGTGGATGATGTTAATTATGAATTTTATCATATTAATTTTAGAAAACAAATTCCATTAAAATGAGAAATATATAAAATAATTTCATTTTTACATAGAAACAAAAATATATTAAACAATTTCATCAATAAAAGAATTATATGAAACAATTTTATTAAATTAAACAATAAAATTGATGGATAAAGATGATTTGTATGTTTGTACAAATGGCTTGGTTTGTAAAGTAAATCATCCCTATAAATATATATATATATATATATATATATATATATATATAGGTTGGTTATTATACAACCTTTGACATTTGTGCAACCAATACAATCCAATTTCAACTGTCCATTTCATTTGATGAATATGTGATTTTATAGAAATTTTGATTGTTTCCTAATATAAAGTATTAATCATAATTAATGAACTCTATTCATATTCCATAAATATTCAAATCATAATAAATGTACTCCTATCATTTCTATAAATATCTCAATTAATTGGGTTGCAAGGGTTGTACAAATACACAAGGTTGTAAAAGAAATATACCCTATATATATATATATATAGAGAGAGAGAGAGAGAGAGAAAGAGAGGGAGAAATGAGAAAGAGACGGGTTCAAACGAGAACAATACATATTTAGGATAATAAAAAAACGGTTTACGTGTGTTATTTTTACTATCATATATATATATATATATATATATATATGTGTGTGTGTGTGTGTGTGTCTGTGGGGGGGTAAAAATACCTAATTAATCAAATAAGAACTCAGTAGTTTGTGATAACCGTAATATCTAATATGACCTATTCATTTAAGATAATTATGTTGTTTATTAAACAAATAGGAAAAAGTAATTTAGTAATATAAAAGACAACCCATAAATATGTGTAATTAATTTATTCTCTCCATAAATAGGAAATTCATAACCACCACAATATATAAAATCAATAACTCCCCACATTGTATTATCTTTGAATCTTTATTAACCGTAACACAAAGCGTATCTCGTTGTTTCATTTGTATCACATTCTGCGTTTTCGATTTTTACAGTGTATCGTATTGTGTATCTAAGGGTATCACATCGTGTATACACTGGTATCACAATGGACATTAGTAGATATCAATAGGTAATATAGAGAGAATGATCCTAATTAATGTATCACAACATATATACAGTGGATATCTCAATGAAATGTTCACGCCAGATAGGAGAGAGGAAAGATAAGACTTCTAAAATGTCTAAAATGCCACTTACAAAATATCTGAAATCAAAATTACCAAAGTTATTGTTATTTTTAATTTAAACTTCGATTTGTTGTTGAGATAGGATTTCACGAATCTAATAGACATATCCAAAAGATGGTATGCCCCTTTCACTTCCTCTCCTCCCCAAACTTATATATATATATATATATATATATATATATATATATAATTATAGTCCATAAACACCAGAATATTCGAAGGCGCAATTATGAACCAAATACATTGAAGTAGGGATGGTATATCTACCTTCCTTCCAACTTCCAAGCAATCTCCTGCTCCAACTCCTACTCCTACCCCCAACCTCCCAACTTAAGAAATGAAAGATTCATTTTAACCACCACTTTTTCCTTTTCCTTTTCCTTTTTCCTTTTTCCTTTGAGTAACTCTTCTTCTAAATCTCCTTCTTTTCCTTTCTCTAATTATATTCATATATCTTTTACATGGAAAAACCATACAAAACCATCATCATCTCTCATCATGTTCTCCTCATCACCATCATCATCATCTCCTTCTCCATTGCTTCTTTTGCTTTCTGCATCATCTCTGAGTTCACCAAATCCAAGGTATATATATATACATATATATTCACATCAATCCTCTCTCTCTCTCTCTCTCTATATATATATATATATCGTAATTTGATGATCTGTTGAACTTGATTAGACGTTAATTTGGTTTGGCAGAAGACGGAGATTCGAGTGGACGGAGAGCTATGCTATTTGGCACGAAGCAAGGCCTTTGGTTATGGGATTGCTGCTTTGATATGTTCGGTTATGGCTCAAATTGTAGGAACTGGATTCTTCGTTTTATGTAGAAGATCAACCGATTCCAAGTCTTCCAACACTTGCTTTGCGACTATTCTTTTGTCTCTCTCGTGGTAAGTCTCTTTCAATGGCTATCATTCTTATACGCGTATTATCATATACGATAAAAATGTTCTCACGTTCTCATCAAATGAAAGTGTTTTCGTTTGAACCTCCGTCTATATATATATATATATATATATATATATATATATTTTCAAGTAAATGTCATTCAAAAAAAATTAAATGGCTTATTTTCCTGAAATCCCAACTTTATTAAATAATTAAAAAGCAAATATGGGTTTTAATGGTTGGGTTCATTCACATGAGATCAGATTGTTTTCGTGAGACAACGTTTTTACATTTGAAACTTCATAGCAAAATATTGTTCACAGTGTTTTCGCTATGAAGATTCAACTTATTTTTATTTTTTACCATGAAGTTTCAAGTATAAAAATATTGTTTTTTACGAAGATAATCTTGTTTTACATGATTCCAAATCTGACCAAAAAATAATTAAAAAAAATATCAGAATCGGGTTTATAATATATAATTAATAATTAATTTTTTTTTTATAATGAGGTTGACTTTTTCAATTCCCTCTCTATGATATTTTTGGTTATTTATAGGGGATGATATCCCCACCCCCTTACGATCAGTTATACACCCCCTCCCTCTCACATTCGACCCCTCTCACATTCAATCAATTTGTTTAATATTATAATTTTAAATTACACTTCATGTAATTATTTAATTAATTTATTTTACACCTTTTACTTTTAAGTTTTTCATTTTGCACCTTTATTAAATTAACATACATAATCGTACATCAACTAAAACATGTTTAAAAAATATCTTTTTATTTTAACAAGTTACACCATTATAATCGTCTCGTTAATACCTTCGAAATGAGTTCAATATTGAATAGTTTTTGAGT